TGGACCCAGAAGCAAACTGGCATCCAATGCAGCTCACAGAGCAAAGTTGTTATATGTGCTGATCTTGATGCACCTAAAATCATCCGTGCAGCCGCATTCTGGACCAGTTGAAGCTTCTGGATACTCTTCAAGGGTAGCCCCATGTAGAGCACATCACAATAGTCTATATGGGAGATGACCAGGGCATGAGTGACTGTTCGAAGGGCCTCAAGTTGATGATATGATACATCATTTGATATTTCTTAGAATGCATTGATCGAAGACCTTTAAAAAACAACAACAGATTCTGTCTAATTCTGTTCTGTAGTGAGATCTGCTGGAATGCCCAAACTGCTTATGGGTTTTAATTATTCAAGATGGTTAGTAAAAAAAACTAGGTCAGCCTTTCTTAGCTAGAAGCAGATTAAGAATCTCCAATCTACAGAACAGGAAGAGAAGAAATCCATTTGCATATAATTGGCAATTACACAATGAAGAGTGCCCAGAAGCATAGTGTTATTTAAAATATTAGAGGAAATTAGCCATTTTTCTTTCAAAGTAACCGTAGCCAGTATTTCTCACTGCTAAATGTTAATCTAGAGTTTAAAAGGCAGAATGCTCCAACCCCCATTATAGGAAGGAACAAAACCAATTTCTTTATTTTCAATATTTAGTTTTCTTGTCTTTTGCTTCCTGAATGTCTCTAATTTTTTCTTTGATCACAGGTTCAAGATTTTGCATATCTAGCATTTTTTTCTAATCCTTGAGAACAAGCATTTGTGCATTCGGTTGTTAAAAGCTGTTTTCATGTATAAGGGGTTAGCCAGGTTTTAAAATCAGGCAAAGGCCTGGTTAGAAGAAAACTAGCTTGAAATCCTGCACAAGTTGGGATGAATCCCCCTCCTATCCATACAGAACCTTCCCTACAGGAGCTCCTTTCCTACAATTGCCAGTTAACTTGGTGAGCAAGTTTGCTTAGATAATATCTAGTTTGATCTCACAGGTATTAACAATCAATCAATCAATCAATCAAGCAAGCAAGCAATCAATCAATCAATCAATCAA